TTCTTCATGTTAGGTACTCGTCTGTTCATGAGGGCGGGTTTCCAAATGGCTGGAAGGCGGGAGGTATCATCTCGTTTGTTCATGCTGTGTGGGCGTTTTTCTATCTCTATGGCTTCTCTGATTATTCTGCTGTTGAAGTGTTTGGTTTTGGCGCCGCCGCTGCCCCCACCGCCACTTCTGCTGCCGCCGCTTCCTCCCCCGCCACCGCTGCTGCTTCTGCCGCTGCCGTTTCTGCCCCCGCCGCCGCCGCTTCTTCCCCCGGCACTGCCGCCGCTTCTGCCCCCGCCGCGGGGGCAGCGGCGGCGGGGGCAGAAGCAGCAGCGGTGGCGGGAGAAGAAGCGGTGGCAGCGGGGGTAGAAGCGGCGGCGGCAGGGGCAGCAGCAGTGGTGGGGGCAGAAGCAGCAGCAGTGGCAGAAGCGGCAGGGGTGGCGGCGGGGGCAGAAGCGGCAGGGGTGGCGGCGGGGGCAGAAGCAGCAGGGGTGGCGGCGGGGGCAGAAGCAGCAGGGGTGGCGGCGGGGCAGAAGCAGCAGCGGCGGGGGCAGAAGCAGCAGTGTTGGCAGGGGCAGAAGCGGCGGCGGTAACAGCAGGAGGTGGCGCTCTGACGGCGCCCGCCTTTTCTCTTGCTGCTTGGCCTGGCGCTCGCCTCGCCCCGCCTTGCGCCTAACTCTCCTCCTCCTTCTCGCTGGCTGTGGCACGATGGTTGGGGTGGGCACTGGGCTGCATTACGAGGCGACCTGGGCTGCATGCAGCCCGTGGGCCGCGGGTTGGACAAGCCTGCCTTATATTATCCTCTTATTTCTCATTTGCCGCTACCACTCTTCCAATTGAGGGCTCCTTCTTTCCGCTTTTTGGGGTTTTCAAAAAGAATGTTCAAAGTCTTTTATCCAGTTACACGCCGCTCACCACTTTCGCTCTCCAGCACAAAACATGTGTCCATGCAACTTCCCATCTTCAGGGCAGCCATTAAAGACTGCCACTTCTCTCTGTTTTCTAGGGGAGTTTACCGAGCCAGGGAGGGGAGAGGCGGCTCCCCTCAACCCAGCTGGCGGTCTCCCCCTCTTCCACCCACCCCTACGAGGTGGGACAGATGGATCCAGTCCTTTAAGGACCCCTCCAAGAGGGTAACCATGGATCAAAGCCATGCACGATTGCGGTCTCTGATCCACCGTTGACAAGAACCTCGGTCTCTTCTGGATTAATTGCTTTGGGGGGGAACCTTTCTCTGCGGACCACCCAAAAAATTTTCACGGACCACCAGTGGTCCCTGGCCCACTGGTTGGCAACCCCTGCTATAGAGTTTAGATGTCATGGAGATGGGTGCTGGATGATGGAGTTGTGAAATCAGCAGGAAGGACAGGGATAGACTTGTGGAACTGATGGCGGGCTCTCCAAACATGGCCACTTTAAGACTTGCGGACTTCAATCCCCACAATTCTGGGGAATTTTGAGAGTTGAAGTCTGCAAGTCTTAAAGTGGCCCAAGTTTGGCTACTCCTCCTCTAACGGGCGGGGCCAGCATCTAAAGCAGGAAGCCCTAACCTCTGTCTGCTTGGTGTCTCCCAGTCAGAATGCATCACCTACGGCAGAGATGGCCACCTCGCCTCCATCCACAGTGATCGGGAAATGGAATTTGTATCTTCTGCTCTGCTCATGAACTATGCAGAGAAATTTAGAATCTGGATTGGACTGTACAAACTCCCAGGCGGGAGGGTGAGTAGAACGTGTGTTGGCCTCGGGGCAGGGAAGGGACTGAGTGGTACCTCTGAGGACAATGAAAACCTCAGGAGGGGGAGGGAGGAGGTGACAAGAATAGGCCAATTTGTCAATGGATTTACATCATGGGACAACTCAACCAGGACTTTACAAGAGTAAAGAAATACTATTACTAAATTTGCAGACGATACAATAGTGGTGGGACTCATCTCTGGGGGTGGATGAATCTGTCTACCAAGACGAGGTGGACCGGTAGCTTTTATGGTGGGGAGACAATAACTTGGTCTTCAGCACCAATAAGACTGGGGCTGGGGACCACTGGTGGTCCATGAGAAAATTTGGGTGGTCCGCAGAGAAATGTCCCCCCCAAAGCAATTAATCCAGGCTGAGGGGGAACACAAGGCTGTGCCACCCACATGGCCCGCCCACCTGATGGCCCCCACCCTTCGACCAAGCGCAAACCTTGAGTAAAACCTTGAGTAAAGCCACGCTGGAACTGGAAGGTAAGACCAACGGTGGGGAGGGAAATCCGCCCCGGGGTGGCTTGCTGACGTTGATGGGAGAGTCGGTCCCATAATCCAGAGCTGCAGGAGTCACAGGACTGGCCCTTTGGTCACCCCAGAGGAGCTGCTCCTCCACCCGGGTGCACCGACCTGCCATGGACTGGAGCAGTTGCTCCGGGGTGACCCAACGGCCAGTCCTGTGACTATTTCATTTACTTATTGGTCCACGGGATTTGAAATTATGAGTTTGCTGGTCCCTGTGGTCCAAAAGGTTGGCGACACCTGCCTTAAAAATATGTAATGGAACAGAGAACGAAAAAAGAAAAATCTCTTTAAAAAAAGTTTAGAGAAAAAAAAACCCAAAATCTCTTTTTTTTAAAAAAAAATGGAAGACTTATGGATAGGTATTCAAAAGTTGCAGAGAGAGAGATAAGGGACAACCGGGAAGGAATACTCTGTGGGTATAAAAATGTTTTAAAAAGTTGTAAAATTCCAAGAGAGAGAGAGAAAAAGTCATTAAAAAGTTAATAGGTGATGGAACTCCAAAAAGCTTAAAGAGACAATGGATAGCGATAAAATATATTAATAAAATGGAAAAGTAAAAAAATATAAATAGGGAAAATAGTAGCATATATACTAATAGATAATAGAATTTATTATATTTTAAAAGAAGCTAATGGTAGAAGGTAGAAATTTAGGATTAGGTAATTTAATTGTATTATTAACAGTGTGTTAAAAATATATTGTGAACTTAAAAGTTTTAAGAATTAGAAATTGTGGGGATTTTGAGACATCATCCCGGGATTGACTAAATTGCGTTAATATTTGGTTTGGTTAGTAGTTCTAGATATTTAGGCTATTGAGATTACAAGTAATTTTTAAAATATTAAATGTAAGTGACTTAATAGGGGATAATAAATACAAGGTGAAAAGAAATGTTATTTATGCTTAAACGAATTAATGGAAAAAATGAGAAAGAACTAAAAAGAGAGAACAGTACTTTGGGAAGTTTAGGATTATACATACTTATTTGTATTATCACTGTTAGCCTTGTTTAAAAAGGACGTTTCACCCAGTCAATATGCTGCCCACAAAATATGTATGGTGTGAAAGGAAACTGTAAATAAAACATGAATTATATATATATAAAAAAAAGGAATTGAGTTTGACACCCCTGTCCTAGGGGTTTAGGACATTTAGGCCTCCACCACTGACCGCGCCTCCTTTGCCACGTCCTCTGCCGGTCCTGACCATTCTCCATGGCCAATGGGCTCCTGACTTTTGTCCCGGTCCGTTCACCCAGACATCCTTTGACCTGGGCCTTTGGCTGGACAGGACAACGGGGGAGTGATCGATGGCTGGCTGTGGGCCATTGTGGAAGCGGGCAGTGGGCCATCGCGAGGACGGTCAGGTGCGCCAGGCAACCAGCAGTGGTGGCAACCTGTAGTTGTTACTCAAAAGCTTCTGCTACTTGTCTGGCACCACCACTTCTGCATGCTGGCACCGCTGCCGCTAGTTGCCCGGCTCACCCCCCCCCTCCCCACTCAGTGGTGGGTTTGGTGGGCATAACTTGGGTTGGTGGGCAAGGCAGGGGAAGGATATACTGCAAAATCCCCCTTCCCCTCCTCACCCCACTGACCTGCTTTCCAGCTCTGTTCTCCTGGGCAGGGCAACCAAAGGAGACCCAGCCAATCAGGTGAGGGCGTGGCTTGGTGGGTGTAGCATTCTGTGGGCGTGGCTTGGTGGGCGTGGCAGGGGAAGGATATACTGC